TTTCTCTGCGTTCTTTTTCCTGCCTTCCTGTGTATAACTGAATATGTTTCAGAATTTCATTTTGATTTACCTATAGCAGTTTTGAGTACATCCCTTTGAATAGCTTTAGTTGTTCTCTATTGGTGTTGACATCTTACCAGTTCAAGTACAATGTAGAAAACCTACTTCTCATTATGTCCCTTCACTCCCTCCCACATATATCATCACCTTAAGGATTTCCTCTGAATACATTTAGAACCATAAGGGACAGTCTTATAATTTATGCTTCAATTGTTAAACATAATTTTAGAAATCTCAAGAGGGAATAGAAAATGTATTTATTTAAACTTGAACTTTTTCTATTGTTCTTTCTTTTTAATGCTCCAGGATTCCTGTTTTTTTTTTTTTAGAGGCAGAGTCTCACTTTTATCACCCTCAGTAGAGTGCTGTGGCATCACAGCTCACAGCAACCTCCAGCTCTTGGGTTTAGGTGATTCTTTTGCCTCAGCCTCCTGAGTACATGGGACTACAGGTGCCCACCACAATGCCTGGCTAATTTTTGTTGCAGTTTGTCTGGGGCTGGGTTTGAACCCACCACCCTCATTATATGGGGCCTGTGCCCTACTCACTGAGCCACAGGTGCTGCCCCAGGATTCCTTTTTTTAATCATTTCTTTTCTGTTGAGAGAGTTTCCTGTGGTTTTTCTTTTAGGTTTAGTGGTGAGAAATTCTTTTCATTTTCCTTCATTTGAGAATGTCTTACTTTACTCTTCTTTCTTAAAAGGTATTTTTTCTGGATACAGAATTTTGTATCGACAGTTCTTTTCTTTTTGCACTTGAAACACGTGTGCCACTTCCTTCTGGCTTCCATGGATTCTGATGAGTAATCAACTGTCATTTAAATAGACTTTCCTCTGTGAATAATGCATCCATCATTTCTCTCTTATTGCTTTCAAGAAATTTTGCTTTAGCTTTAAAATGTTTGATTATGATATATCTTAGGGTGGGTTTCTTTGGATTTATTCTGTTTTGGATTCACTCAGCTTCTTCAATCTACAGGTTCTTATCTTCTGCCAAATTTAGGAAGTTTTTAGTCAATATTTCTCCATTATTTATTTTTTTTGAGACAGTCTCACTATGTGGCCCTGGGTAGAGTGCCATGGCATCACAGCTCACAGCAACCTCCAACTTTTGGGCTTAAGCGATTCTCTTGCCTCAGCCTCCCGAGTAGCTGGGACTGCAGGTGCCCACCACAATACCTGGCTATTTTTTTGGTTGCAGTTGTCATTGTTGTTTGACAGGCCTGGGCTGGATTCGAACCCACCAGCTCCAATGTATGTGGCTGGCACCCTAGCCATTAAGTCACAGGTGCTGAGCCCAATGTTTTTTTAAGTACTTTTTCAGACCTACCCTCTTCTTCTAAGATTCTGATGACACAAATGCTCAATCTTCTGTTATATATATATATATATATATATATCCCCACAGGTACTGAGGCTATAGTTATTTTTCCCCCCTTTTCAGCTAATTTCCTCTCTGTTGGTTAATTTCTGTTGATCTACTTTCGCATTCACTGATTCTTTCCTCTGCCCCTTCCATTCTACTATTGAGCCCATTCATTGAGTTTTTATTTCAGTTATTGTATTTTTCAGTTCTAAAATTTCTCATTCAGTATTTTTAATGTCTTCTCTTTCCTGAGTCTATCTTTTCATTAGTTTATCTTTTTATGTGTAATAATTGCTCCTTAATGCATTTTATAATGGCTCATTTTAAATCTTTTTTTTTGTTGTTGTTGTAGTTTTTGGCTGGGGCTGGGTTTGAACTTGCCACCTCTGGCATATGGGGCTGGCGCCCTACTCCTCTGAGCCACAGGCACCGCCCTCCTTTTAAATCTCTTTCAGATAATTCTATTTCTGTCATTTTAGTATTGGCATTTACTGTCTTTTTCTTATAAAGTTGAGGGTTTTATTTTGTAGACAAATGATTTTCAACTACGATATGAACATTTGGCTATTATGCTGTGAGACTTTGGCTCTTATTTAAACTTTCTGTGTTAGCTGTTTTTTACTAATACTGCTCTAGCAGGGGAAGGGAAGGGTGCTGCCTCATTATTAACAGGTGGGATAGGACTTCAGCTTCCCCATTTGACTTCTCTTCCCTTGGGGTAGAAGGGCTCTTTGTTATTGCTGGGTAGGGGTAGAAATTCTTACTTTCTACTAGGCTTCTACTGTTATGATCTTGACTGGAGCAGCTTGAAGTCCTTTGCCACTTTTTCCTATGTGACTTCCCCTGGTCTCACGGCAGTGGTTGTCATGGTGGCCCCATTACTGTCAGGTAGTGATTAATGTCTTAACTCTCTAACTCAACCTCTTCTGGACAGTACCCTAGCAAGGAAGGAGAGGAGTGGCTCATTGCTGCTAATTAGGGGTCCAGGTTTATCATTTGACCTTTGCAGGTATGGATGAAGATATGGCCACTATTTTTACTATGATTACTTTTACTATGGTTTGGCTGGAGTAGAGAAGTTACTGTTTAAAAGTTTCCTTTAGGAAGTGCAGGAGACTAGAATATATCACTCCAAAACATGACTGTAGGAAACCAGAATATTCTACCCCTAAAGATGCCTCTCTTGTGAAAAAAGGATTATTCTAATTTGATTATTTTGAGAAACTACAGATACAGGAAAAGCTTTAAAAACAGAGATATTACCTTTTTTAAAGGAAAATTCACAGCTATAAAAGAAAGCTCCATTTGTAAGGATATCTATCTTCTTTCTGTATCAGGAAGAGAAGAATGGCTCTACGTCACTAAAAGACTTAGAGCTTCTATCTGTATGACAGAGCTTTCTCTCATTTGCAGTGTTTTTTCTGGTCAGTCTCCCATATTGACCTTCTGGATACCTGTTCTTTCTTTGTTTCAGTTGAAGGTGGGATTCATACCTGAACTCAGAAAAATATCTCTTTAAGATTTACTCATTTCTCTGGGTTATCTCCCATGTATACGTGAGGTATACACATTGATAAATTTATTTTTTCTAGTGTTAATCTATGTTTGTGACAAGGGTCTAACTCAACTAAGAGCCATAAAAGATAGAGAGAAAATGATTTTTTCCTCCTCTATAAAAAGCTGTCCCTTTCCTGATCTTTTGGGGAGGGAGGGTAGGCTTTTGTGGAGCTTTTTTTGGTTTCTACTCTTTGGTGTTTCTGGGTTGTTGGCTCCACATTTAGGGTATATGTTATAAAAAGAAAACCAAAGGAATTCACTACTGTGTTGTTCTTTGGGGCCCACTGTCTCTACATAATTTGTCTTCTATTCTCCCTCTTGTACAGTCTTCTGATATTTTTTTTATATATAATATCTGGGGGTTTCAGTACTTAAAAGGAGACGTAGGGGAAAAGTATATTTACTTTGTCTTCCCAGAAGCAGGAAAATGGTGTCTCTAATTGAAGATTGCTTTTTTCCCCCCCTTCAATCCATTCTGTAAGCTTAAAAAAAGAAATGCCAAAGAGGAGAGGAAAAACACTGTAAAGGAAAATAAAATGATCATGTTGAGGTATATACAGGGAATTTGACATACATCTGCCCCAATTCCAAAGGTCACAAGTAATTTTCAAAGGTAGATTCACCTTTAGATTTCATCTAGTATAACTCTTGTTCTGATTAGCCATTGAGAACCAAAGAGAAGAAGTAACTTAATTAAGGGCACAGAGTGAGTCTAGGGAAGAATCAAAATGAGGGTTATGGGTTTCTGACTTCTCATCAGTGCCATTTTCACTTAGTAGGTCAACTCTTCCTTTTTCGTATTATGAGAAAAGGATGAGGAGTTGGAATTGTGGTCTTTAAGGAACATTTCCCACTTCAACTTCTGGCAATTTCTGGGACTGTCCTTAGCCTTACTTCTCTTTCTCCCTATCTTATCTTTTTTTTTTTTTTTTTTCACTACTGTGCTAAGCTACAATAAAGAATGGGAACTGGGGAAAGCATGGAGGGAAAAAAACCACAAATACAAAAAAAAAAATTGAACCTTGTATTTTTGATGACTGCTTCTTACTATATATTTGGAAATACACCTCCCACACAAACTACATCTATACAACAGAATGGACAGGGCTGTGACTTGTTTCTAGAATCACTATGCATGAGACCTTATGACATTGTTAATACATAGAGCATAGAAAACTTTATTCAGCAGTTCTGCCTTTACCATTAACTAGGCCAAAAAGACAATAGTGGTGACTACTGTAAAGGAAGCTTATCACGGTGGCAGTCTGCCTGAGTGTAAGCACTGTCCACTACTTTGGTCAATTCATGTAACTACTCTGTACTTTAGTTTCTTCATTTGTAAAATAGGAACAGTAGCAATACCTAAACCTCACTAGTTCTTCTGAGGACCACAGATTAACTGTTGCTGCCAACTACTGTTCAATCACTTATTGGAGGTTTGTTATAAATAAAATAATAGATAGAAACTTTGCATATATTATGACATGTAATCCTAGAATAATCCTTTGAGTATGGGGTATTATTATTCCTATTTCATACATTAAGAAACTGGGATTTTTTTTTATGAAAGTAATTTATAAATACAGTATAAATTAGTATTATCCAAAAAGATGGATTACATTTTAAAGTAATTTTTGAAGCCAAAAGTTAAGGAACAAAAATATTCCAGAAAATACAATCAGCAAAACATATAGTATTAAAATATATATTACTATGATGATTATTTATTACTCTTATAATTTAAACTCTCCCAAAAACATGTAAAGAAGGAAAATAAAAACATAGCCTGTTAACTTTAAAAGAATATTTGGCCTTCTTCTCTTGTGTTGTTTTTTGCAAAGTGAGGGTTTTGCAAACTGAGTATTAACAGAGCGTTCTGTTAAATTCTATTAAAGTGGAATCACACCAAAAAAGAAAAAAGTGAACTATCCTTAGATCCTATGAGGAACACTTTCTGAGACTGTTTTGCAAATACTTTCTGCTATAAAAATGAGAATATATATATTAAAATGTGCTTACCTAGGCAGAAGGGTTGAAAAGCATTCGTCAGTGAAAATTCATTCTCCACGTTCATCATTCGAAGGCCCATTCTGATCATCAAGGACTTGATTATCTCAGGGCACGGTTTAAGTATCAAGTAGCCAGTAGCATAGAGAACATATCGAAACCAGCACAAAAGGGGAGTGGCAATTCTGCCATTGGGTGACTCGGACATTCGTTCAATTGTTGGAAAGAGCAGACAGGATCGAATTACCTATAATAAAGAAACATAGAGATCTTTCACGTCCTTTGTTATGTAAACTCCCAAATACTTTATCTTCTTTGGCACTACTGTGAATGGGATAGAGTCCTTGACTATTTTTTCAACTTGATTTTTGTTGGTATATATAAAGGCTACCAACTTACAGGTGTTGATTTTGTAACCTGAGACACTGCTATATTCCTTGACCATTTCTAAGAGTTTTGTAGTAAAATCCCTGGTGTTTTCCAGATATACAATAATATCATCTGCAAAGAGTAAAAGTTTAATCTCTTCTGACCCTCTATGGATACCCTTGATTGCCTTTTCTTCCCTAATTGCAGTGGCTAAAACTTCCATTACAATTTAATAAAGAGCAATGAAGACAATGGAGAACCTTGCCTGGTTCCTGATCTGAGTGGAAATGTTTGCAGTTTAACTCCATTCAATACAATATTGGCTGTGGGTTTGCTGTAGATGGCCTCTATCAGTTTAAGAAATGTCCCTTCTTTACCAATTTT